ATTTTTGTTATTGTAATTATTCTATTGCATTAAACTTAATATTTCATGTGATAAATTTTTGTTTTCAAACTTTTGGGTGTCTTGCAAGGATTAATTTGATTTCCATTATTTCTTATGGGGAAAATTAATTCGACTTTCGATATTTTCGACATTCGATAGCTCTCGGGAACGGATTAGTATCGAATGTCGAGGGTCCACTGTATATATTTGCAAAATTATCACCCATAAAATTAAACCTAATACAGTTGAAGCAGTCTATAGGTTACCTCACAAAAATTCTTACACATTCAGCGACATCCTCAAAAACATAAGTGACTCAAATATGAATTGAGCATAAACCTCGTCCAGGCAGCTGAACCTAAAGTAACTGACTTCGCTAACACTAATGTGTCAGTCTGGAGTTTGAGACTCTTTTATTGCTGGTTCTAACCCCACCCCGTGGTATGGTTTGTTTGTAATCGTCTCATTACGATTTTGTGGAGTCAAGAACTCCTTGTTACCACATCAGTAACCAAGCCAATAAGAATCTCTGAGACAAGTGCCTCATTACTTGACCATATCTGGAATTTGCTTCCATAAGGAATATTGTAAATTAGATTAGTCCATTTCAGACCCCCAAAAATACACTTACAAAAGCACTTACAAAAATACACTTACATAATTGTCTGAGTTGGGAGCTGATCGTAAGTCGGGGGGTCCACTGTACTACTCTATTTGTGCTTGATGATCTACTATAAGTCATCAGCTAAACATTAACCCTTTGACTGTTTTCGAACGTATAAATACGTCTTACGAGCCAATGTTTTCTGACGTATATATACTCAATAATTCTAGCGGCTTCAAATCAAGTGGGAGAAAGCTGGTAGGCCCACGTCTGTGAGAGAATGGGTCTGTGTGGTCAGTGTGCACCACATAAAAAAAATCCTGCAGCACACATTGCGTAATGAGAAAAAAAAAACTCTGATCGTTTTTTTTGAATAAAACTCCGACTTTGAGGTGTATTTTCGTAAAGTATTTATCGTTGTATTCGCGTTTTCATGGTCTTAGGTGATAAAATGGAAAACATATTACAGAAATAGAGATGATTTTCATTACTTTGACGATGAAAACGACCTTGAAACTGAGCTCAAAGTAGCGGAAATGTTCGATTTTTACCAATGTTCAGGAGTAAATAAATCACACCACACGTCCAATACACTTCAACTGGGAAGTCTAAAAATTCTTTCACTAGTGCACTGATATTATTTATACCATTTTTTTACAATAATGCAGTAGTCTGCATAACAGTAAATTTTGTATTTTTTTGTATGAATAAAAAATCAAAATAGAAAGCAATAATAATATAAGAGGAGCCTAGAGATGTGACTAATGAACAGAGCATATGTTATTTTAGTGCCACGAATGTCTACCTTGTTTATTCTGGACCCTATTTTGAAATTGGCATCTTTTTAGTTTGCATGAAATTAGCCAAATTGCCAATTTCTGACCATATTGGGTAGTCCAAATTAGTAAATGGGAGGTTTCTTGTACTCAGCTGATAGATAAAATGGAGTTCTAAAGAAATAGCATAGAGTTTGGTCAACTGGAACAATGGAATTGGCTGAAAATAGGGCTCAAAGTCGGCTAAATCGCCGATACGCTTATGTCGCCGAGACCGCTAAATTCGCGGGAGCATAATTCCATGAGTTTTTGACCAAAGTTCGAACTTTTGGTGTCATTACCACCGGGAAAAGATTCTCTATCATTTCATAAGAAAAAATAATTTTTTTTTCAAAAATTGAGCGACATAGAATGACAGTTTCAGAGAGGGGCCTGAAACAGTCAAAGGGTTAATAACCAAAGAAAAAAGCTGCTGTGTGGATGATCACCAATTCCTGCTCCAGACAACACACTTTTCTGCTCCTCAAGAGTTTGAAGTTACTTATTATACAAAATATGCACTCATATTACTGTACTTATTATATATATGTAGAAATTAAACTCCAACATTAACTCTTCTCTGAAATTTCTCCTTGATAGCTTCAACAGAACACACAGGCAAAACACAGGACACAAAACTCTCTGACATCTCCAGTGTCTCGCTGATCCTGTACAAAAATGCAGTGCATATAAAAAGCCCCAAGATCTGGAATTCATTGCCTGAACTAATGAAAGGTCTCCTGTCTGCCAGTCAGTTTAGGGCTATTACATATTAAAAATCACCTTGTTTCTCTAATGTAATGAAATCAACACTGTACTAATGCCAAACTAAGCCAACTTTGTCCAACTCTATCCCTGTTCTTCCAGTCTTCCTTTCCTCAAACTTCCCTAGAAAATTAATACTCATCCTGTGCCATTATAATTCTATGAAAATCTAATAAACTTCCTGTGTCTTCACCATCTCTTAAAATTGTTTCGTAGTCTGATGACATAGAGCCAGTTTGGAAGTGTTTAAGAAATCCCAATTAACTTAAGATCACTGAATCAGTTGAAAGAATTAATTCATACTTTAAATTGTACTATACTCATTGACCTACCTCTCTTCTTTGTATTAATTTTATTATTATTTTATTAACACATCAGCTGTTCCCAAACCAAGGCAGGGTGACCCGAGAAAGAAGAAACGCTCTTATCAGCATTTGCTCCATCAGTGTCTTGCCAGAGGCTTGCCTACACTATGGTTAAAAAAACTGCAACATGTCAACACCCCTCCTTCAGAGTGCAGGCACTGTACTTTCCACTTCCAGGACTCAAGTGTGGCTGACCAGTTTCCATGAATCTCTCCATAAATGTTACCCTGCTTACACTCCAACAGCACGTCAAGTCATGAAAACCATTTGTGTCTACTCTCTCCTATCTAACATGCTCATGCATGCTTGCTGGAAGTCCAAGCCCCTTGCACACAAAACCTCCTTTACCCCCTCCCTCCAACCTTTCCTAGGCTGACCCCTACCCTGCCTTTCTTCCACTACAGAGTTATTCGCTTTTCAAGTCATGCTCAACAACCCCTTGTCAGTCCTCTGGATAATACTTTTAGCAACCCTGCACCTCTTCCTAATTTCCAAACTGTGGATTCTCTGCATTATATTCACACCACACATTGCCCTCAGACACGACATCTCCACTGCCTCCAGCCTTCTTGTTGCAACATTAATCACCCATATAAGAGTGTTAGCATAACTATGCTCTCATACCTAGGCCTAGGCATGATAGTGGCTCTCTTTGCACTGCAACTCATTTTTGTAATTTCATAATCTGTGTATATACTGCAAGGAAATAAAAATTGATTGATTGATTGATACATTCTCCTCTCTGCTTCCATGGATAATGTTCTTTGTCTCCACAGACTCCTCAGTGCACCACTCACCTTTTTCCCCTCATCAATTCTTTGATTCACCTCATCTTTCATAAACCCATTGTTATGCAAAAATGTGGGATAGCTGGGGGCTTGAGCCTGGTCTAAGGGCAAAGGTAAAGTTACACACATACTAGCCCAAACTGGCCACCCAGGGCCATCCCAGACAAAACAGAAAGCACTAAACTGGTATGTGTACTTAAAGGGGTTGGGTAACAGAGGGTTAGGCAAACATCCCAATTAGGAAAATATATCTATTTAGTCACCATAACATAACATAACAGAAAAACCTTAATCCTAAACGCCCAAATGAAGGTACACAAACAACAGCTGGCTGGAGGTCCAGCCACCATAACCACTATGCCTCATCAGCACCAGGCCCACACTACTCCACTCCCAGCTTCATTTCTTATTTCCTCACTCCTCCCACAGCAAACTGACCATGTCAGAGCCTGGGTGAACATACTGGTAAGCCATATGAGAGCCTATGGTTTGAGTTGGATAAACAAAATGAGTGCACAACTACAAACTTATCTTAAATACACAGCATCTCCGATGCCAGCCTCTACACACCATGCTAACGTCACGTGACTCCCCCAAACCACGCTTACTCTGCGTACCCAAACATCCTTGGAAAATAAATCATTAACAGAATTTCTTTATAATTACAGTTAGAGTAATTTACAGTACCCCCAAATGCACATTATCAATTATAAAATTATTCTTTACAACTATAATATTCATACTATTATGGCACACTTCTCCACTATATGTACATTACGATGTCATGCAGAACCCTGCATAACACCCATCTGCTGACAAGTCCACTCCTAAATACGGTATCTGAATATATTCACTTACTCCATACTCACTCCCTCGGATCTGATATACAATCTTTCATTACCTAAAGCTTTTGTTATCCTCATGACCTTACTCTTTCCTGTTTACTTTTTAATTTCCTTCTTTTACTTACCCTTCCAAACTCATCCACCAACCTCTGCAACTTCTCTTCAGAATCTCCAAAAAGCACAGTGTCATCAGCAAAGAGCAACTGTGACAACTCCCACTTTGTTAGATTCTTTATCTTTTAATCCCACACCTCTTGCCAACACCCGAGCATTCATTTCTCTTACAACCCCATCTATAAATGCAGTGGTACCCAGAGTTTTGTACATAATTTGTTCCAGAAGGCTGTTCGAGTGCCGTTACCGAATGAATTTGTTCTCATAATGAATAATGTAAATTAGATTAGTCTGTTTCAGACCTCCAAAAATACACTCACAAAAGCACTTAGTCATACACTTGCATAATTGTTCGAGTTGGGAGCTGTACGAAACTTGTGGTACCACTGTATATGAACAACCACGGTGACATCACGCATCCTTGTCTAAGGCCTACTTTTACTAGGAAATAATCCCCCCTCTCTTAACCACTCCATAACCTATGTCTAGTTTTAAGTTTTTGTACCTCTCTATGTATGCTAAAATTTATAAATAAATAAATAAAATAAATACGTAGTTTGTAAGGATGAGTATTAGTCTGCCCAAAATGCTCAGGCATGCTAGTGGCTTTCTTTGTGCTTAACAATATTTTATAACATTTAAATCACACATTGTCTGCTATGCAAAGAAATAAAACAAATTTGAATATGTTAGCCACCGTTATATACAGTGACATGGCTTATTTTTTTATGTACAGGTACAATGCAGAAGAAACGATCTGCAGTGTGGAGACACTTCGATGAGGAAGGGGATAATAAGGTAGCCTGTAAGACTTGTCACAAACGACTCACGAAGCATGGTAACACTTCCATGATGATCAGACATCTCCGAGGGCAGCATCCAGAGATCATGCACTGCCTGCTGGATGCTGATGGACCCACTGTGACAGGAGAAGGTGTCTCGTGGCAGTTAGAAGAACAGCAGGTGGAAGAGGTTGTGGAATCACTTCCTCCACTAGAAAACTCAGGTAACTTGTGTCTGTATATAGCACTTTCCATTTATATACAGTGGTCCCTCAATTATCGTCCATAATACATTCCTGGAAGTGGGACTATTATCGAAATAGACTATTTTCAAATCAATTTTCCCCATAAGAAATAATGTAAATACATTAATCCGTTCCTGACACCCAGAAGTATTAAAATAAACTTTTTTTTACATGAAATATAGATATAGTACATAAACAGTACAATGGCACATGATGAATGAAACACTAACAGCTTAACACTTACCTTTATTGGCAATTCTTCTTAGTGTATGGAAGACTGGAGGAGGAGAGAGATTGAATTACTGTTTGGAAGGGGAATCCCCTTCCATCAACACCTCAGGTACCAAGTGCAGGTACCAAGTGGGGTTACTTCTCTGTTTCTTAATGCCACTAGGACCAGCTTGAGTCACTGGAGTCCTGTCTCGCAAAAAAACTGTCCAGAGAGCTCTGTTTCTGGCGTCTCTTTAAAACATCCCTAAAATGGGCCAAGACTCTGTCACTGTACAAGTTGCTGATATGGCTTGCAACATCCTTCTCAGGGTTGTTTCTCCATAAATCTTTCCATCTTACCCCACATTTCAAAAATCTCCTTAATTTCTGAAGAAGGCACCTTCTTCCATCTCTTCCTCTTCCTCTGCCGCAAGATTCTGGGCTGCGATCTGTTGCTCTTCCTGCTGAAGCTCTTGCAGCTCCTCAGTGGTTAGCTCTTCATTGTGGTCCTCCACCATCTCTTCCACATTCTTTAAACTCGCATCCAACCCCATGGAACTCCCCAGTGCCACAGTAGAGTTCACAACTGACATAGGCTCATCAGGGGCTGCCTCAAACCCTTCAAAATCCCTCCTGTGGACACAATCTGGCCACAATTTTCTCCAAGCAGAGTTCAAAGTCCTGGTAGTCACTCCCTCTCAAGCCTTACCTATAAGGCTTATGCAATGGAGAATACTGAAGTGTTCTTTCCAAAAATCTCTTAGGGTCAAGTGAGTGTCTGAGGTCACATTAAAGCACCTTTCAAACATTGCTTTAGTGTAGAGTTTTTTTAAAGTTTGAAATGACCTGCTGGTCCATGGGCTGGAGGAGAGAAGTGGTATTTGGGGCAAGAACTTTACTGTGATAAACCCAAACTCCTTCAGAATAAGGTCATTCAAGTTTGGAGGATGAGCAGGTGCATTGTCCATTACTAGGAGGCACTTGAGATCCAATTTCTTTTCCAGGAGGTAATTCTTCACACTAGGGCCAAACACTTCATTGAACCACTCGACGAAATGTCCCTCGTGACCCATGCCTTATTATTAGATCTCAAAACGCACAAAATTTACTCTTCATAACAGTTTTTCTTGAACACTGGGATTTTCAGAATGGTGCACTAGTAATGGCTTCACTTTGAAATCCCCACTAGCATTAGCACAGAACATGAGTGTCAGCCTGTCTTTCATAGGCTTGTGTCCTGGCAGTGCCTTTTCTTCCTGAGTAATGTAGGCCCTCTGGCATTTTCTTCCAAAAGAGGCCTGTTTTGTCACAATTGAACACTTGTTCAGGTTTCAGTCCTTCAGCCTCTATGTACTCCTTGAATTCCTGTACATATTTTTCAGCCGCCTTGTGGTCCGAACTGGCAGCCTCGCCATGCCTTGCCACACTGTGTATGCCAGTACGGTTCTTAAATCTCTCAAACCAGCCTTTGCTGGCCTTAAATTCACTCGCATCACTACTAGTTGCAGGCAATTTCTTTACCAAATCGTCATGGAACTGCCTAGCCTTTTCACAAATAATCGAAGTCATAAGAGTATCTCCTGCTAATTGTTTCTCATTTATCCACACCAATAATAACTTCTCAACCTCTTCCAGTACTGTTGATCCATTTTTGTCAGCATAGTTACTCCCTTTGCAACAACAGCATCCTTGATTTCCTTTTTCTTGGCTATGATGGAAGATATGGTTGTACGGGATTTGTTATACATCCTGGCCAGTTTGCCCACACGTACTCCACTTTCATATTGTTCATTGATGTTTTTCTTAAATTCAATCGTATTTCTCACCTTCTTTACCAAAGGCTTGGCACTAGGAGCTTTCTTTGGAGCCATGGTAGCTTATTTGGCACTTGCAAGCACTAAAATGAATGGAATATTATGAAATATTTCGTATGAACACGTGAGGGGACCGTCGCTCACTGGTAAGCAATGGCACACTGGCTGGGAAGGGAGGCCAAGGCGGCTCAGAGCCGTGAGTACGCGTCCAGGACGAAAGACGATTAGCGAGTTAACGGACCATTTGCGAGCCAATGTTTAGACGAAATAACGTGACTATTTCCGAAATGGATAACTTTCAGGCCGGACGATTATTGAGGGACCACTGTATGTCTTTTCTTTCAACAACCGGCCGTATCCCACCGAGGCAGGGTGGCCCTAAAAGAAAAACAAAAGTTTCTTTTTTAAAATTTAGTATACAAGAGAAGAGGTTACTAGCCCCTTGCTCCCAGCATGTTAGTCTCCTCATACAACACGCATGGCTTACAGAGGAAGAATTCTGTTACACATCCCCATGGAAATAAGAGGGAATAAACAAGAACAAGAACTAGCAGGAAAATAGAAGAAAACCCAATGTGTAGTGACCTAAGTGTAAGTAGAAGTAGCAAGATATACCAGAAATCTTGCATGTTTACGAGACAGAATAAAGACACCAGCAATCCTACCCTCATGTAAAACAGTTACAGGCTTTTGGTTTACTCACTTGGCAGGACGGTAGTACTTCCATGGGTGGTTGCTGTCTATCAACCTACTTCTCCGTGTACACTAATTATTTTTTCCCGTGTATACTAATTTTTTTTTTTGGGGGGGGGGGATGGAGTAAGTTTTATCTTTGAGAGTTAGTACATGTATGTGTACCTTTTTCCACAAGTAAATATAAGTGTGAGGTACAGCATTATAAATTTTTCACAAAGTTCTAAAAATAATGTTGCTGTTTTGATGTGTAAAATTTTCTTAATGATTATTACATTTGTTAAAATGTTTACTCATATATTGGCCATTGATTTACCCTCAGTGAAGAAGAAAAGATCAACTGTTTGGAGACACTTTGAAGAAGAGGGCAATGATAAAGTTAGCTGTCGTATATGTAACGAGAAGTTGGCCAAGCACGGTAACACCTCGTCAATGTTGCGTCATCTCCGAGGCAAACATCCTCAGCTCAAGTTGGGTGAACTTCAGGGAGACAGGTAAACACAGCCAAGAGCGTGTTTTGAGATGTTAGTTAATTTTAATACATACAGCCTCTTCTCACTTAGCGATGCACTCGTTTACCGATGCCTCGGACTTACGACTGGCTCTCTGACCAGTATTCATACCTAAATAATGTATATTAGAGCTGATTTCCTCTATTGTGTTTATATCAGTATATGGTACACTACTGCATAAACATTTAAAAATATACCAGAAATGTTATAAATGGTGCAAAGGTGACATTAAAACAATATCGGAGATTGTTGACACAAACCCACCACCATTATAGTAGAGTGGACCCCCGCTTAACGATTACCTCCCAATGCGACCAATTATGTAAGTGTATTTATGTAAGTGCGTTTGTACGTGTATGTTTGGGGGTCTGAAATGGACTAATCTACTTCACAATATTCCTTATGGGAACAAATTTGGTCAGTACTGGCACCTGAACATACTTCTGGAATGAAAAAATATCGTTAACCGGGGGTCCACTGTATACTCCTCACTTAGTGGCGAATTCGTTTAATGATGAAGTCTTAGGAACAGAACTCTGTTGTTAAGTGAGGAGAGGCTGTATTTCAATTTAATGATACAAAACACTAATAGGGGATTGTTCGAGTATCCCTGTAAGCAGAATGTTAAAAATGAGAGCACTTGTTTACTGTATACCTGATATAGTACAGATGTACTACGATATTATTATTATTATTATTATTATTATTATTATTATTATTATTATTATGATAATCATTGAAAATTAAGCAGTTAAAAGTACAATTTACCCAGTGGATTTTACCCATTATTTCAAAAGTCCATTATATTGAGGCTCGTTGCAGTCATGGTTAACTGTGTTTCTTTTCTTGCGAAACTGTTTGTTTTTGTATTACCTTATTTTCTGGCATATAAGGAGCGCTTTTTTATTCCTAAAAAGTCTTGGAAAATGAGCTTGTGCCGTAAGTTTTTAAACAGTCCAAACATAGATCTATGTTCGCCTGCGTGGCACTCTGAATATTTTGAAAAATAAAAAAATCGTTTTTTGTTTTTAAATTAAAGAGGGGTATTTTCTGTGTGGTATAAGACCCCAAAAAATTTTTAGGACCAGTACTTACCGAGATATTAAGACCGTGAAGTTGGCTCTGGATGCTCACCTGACGGCAACATCCAGTCCTGCCACTTGCATAAGTGTTGCCGATTTGCCTTTTTTTTTTCTCTCTCTATTTTAATTTATATAATTTTTATGTTCTTGTGATTTCGTAGTTAATCTTTGTTCTGACACTGATATTATGTACTGAAATAGTACTCAAATTGTAACAATCATACTGACAGGTGAACATTTTCATTTGCCTTGGTCACTGACTATTGTCTAGAAATATATACAAAGTAATTATAGGTCCCAGCAATGTTTTTAGACATGCTGGAGTATGAACCTCCTTGAAGCATGGTGTTACGCCAAGGGTCGGAATGTGCCCTGCTGGAGGGAAACTTGCCTTTGTATGTTTTTACTCTTGCACACAAACATGTCTCTGTATGTCTGTCTGTCAGTCTGTCTATCTGTACATCTATCTCTGTCTATTTGTGCATCTGTCTGTCTGCCTAGCTCTGCTTATGTCTGTCTAGTTCTGCTTATCTGTCTTTCTGTCTGCCTGTGTCTGTCTTTCCATCTGCTCGTCTCTGTCTCAGGGAATGGTGTGTGCGCTGCTCCCTGATTGCTGAGCAAGTGACACTGCTATTATTTGCGTCATGTTTATGGAAAAAAAATCCTTCCCCAGTACCATCAATACCAACAGTCGGATGACATTCTTCTTTGCAAATATACAGGGTCTAAAGCCAGCAACAAACAACAAAATACTTTTCATCCGTGGACTGCTTGCAGAGGCAAAGGCAATGTTCGCGGCTTTCACTGAGACCCACATGAAGGATCACTTGGACAATGAAATATGGATCCCAGGTTACAACCTATACAGATGCGACAGAGTGAACAGACAAAAGGGGGGGGGGTTGGCCTGTACATTGCAGAGTCGCTTGTTTGCACAGAACTGCTTAATGCCTCAAATGATGTAGTGGAAGTTTTAGCAGTAAAGATCGAGAACCAAAACCTAGTCATTGTGGTAGTCTACAAGCCTCCGGATGCAACATCCCAGCAATTCCAGGAACAGCTGTTAAAAATTGACAACTGTCTGGAAAATCTTCCAGCTCCTGCACCCAACATCTTGCTCCTGGGGGATTTCAACTTAAGGCACCTAAAATGGAGGTATATAGCAAATAATATTGTTGCAGTAATAACACCAGGAGGCAGCTCTGATGAAAACTCACACTCGCACGAGCTTTTAAATCTCTGCACAAAATTCAATTTAAACCAGCAAATAATAGAGCCTACTAGACTGGAGAATACACTTGACCTCATCTTCACTAACAATGATGATCTGATATGAAATGTCACCATATCAAAAACAATATACTCGGATCACAACATAATTGAGGTTCAGACATGTATGCGTGGAGCCCCAGACCGACATAATGAGATTAGTCACGAAGGAGCATTCACCAAATTCAACTTTAATAACAAAAACATAAAGTGGGACAAAGTAAACCAAGTCCTAACCGATATAAGCTGGGAAGATATACTAAGCAACACAGACCCCAACTTATGCCTAGAACAGAAACTTGGTGGCACTCGATGTATGCACAAGGCTTATTCCTCTAAGAAAAAGGAGTAGATGTAAAATAGAAAGAGACAGGCGCTCCCTTTACAGGCGACGGAAAAGAATAACAGAGCGGCTAAAAGAGGTCAATATATCTGAAATGCGTAGGGAGACACTGGTCAGAGAAATAGCAAGCATCGAACTTAAGCTAAAGGAATCTTATATGAGTCGGGAATCGCGGGAAGAACTAAAAGCCATAAATGAAATCGAAAGAAACCCAAAGTACAGTGGACCCCCGCTTAACGATCACCTCCCAATGCGACCAATTATGTAAGTGTATTTATGTAAGTGCGTTTGTACGTGTATGTTTGGGGGTCCGAAATGGACTAATCTACTTCACAATATTCCTTATGGGAACAAATTCGGTCAGTACTGGCACCTGAACATACTTCTGAAATGAAAAAATATCGTTAACCGGGGGTCCACTGTATTTCTTCTCTATGCCAAATCAAAGTCGAGAACAACGTCCAGTATTGGGCCCTTACTTAAACAAGATGGGTCCTACACAGATGACAGCAAGGAAATGAGTGAGCTACTCAAGTCCCAATATGACTCAGTTTTTGGCAAGCCACTAACCAGACTGAGAGTTGAAGATGAAAATGAATTTTTTATGAGAGAGCCACAGAATTTGGTTAACACAAGCCTATCCGATGTTATCCTGACGCCAAATGACTTCGAACAGGCGATAAATGACATGCCCATGCACTCTGCCCCAGGGCCAGACTCGTGTAACTCCGTGTTCATCAAGAACTGCAAGAAGCCCCTATCACGAGCCTTAACCATCCTATGGAGAGGGAGCATGGATACGGGGGTCGTCCCACAGTTACTGAAAACGACAGACATAGCCCCACTCCACAAAGAGGGCAGTAAAGCAACAGCAAAAAACTACAGACCGATAGCACTAACATCCCATATCATAAAAATCTTTGAAAGGGCCCTTTGAAGCAAGATCACCCCCCATCTAAAAACCCCCATCAGTTACAAACCCCAGGGCAACATGGGTTTAAAAACGGGTTTGGGTCCTTTTCTGTCTAACTATTGGATCACTACAAAAAGGTTCTAGATGCACTAAAAGGGACAAAAAAAAAGGGCAGATGTATTTTTATCCCGGCTTTGCGAAAGCCTTCGACAAGTGTGACCTTTGGCGAAAATACCCGCCACAAAATTCCCCTTTAAAGGGAAAAAACGGGAAAAAGTCGGTTGATGGATCTTTTAATTTTCCTAAATAACGAACACAGAGAGTAGTAGTCAACAGAGTAAAAAGTCCAAAGGCGGGTACGGTGAAAAGCTTGTTCCCAAGGGCCCACAGTACTCGCCCCCCATCTTTTTTCCCTCATCCCTCAAAATTGACATAGAAAAGGATGTAGCCACACCCCCCATGTTTTCCCTTTTTGCGAGGGACCCCCAAAATCGAGACAGTGTCTTCCATTGCGACACGGGAAAGGGCCCCCCTCCAGGCGGCATAAACCCAAAAATTTTTTCAATGGGTTTGCAGAAAAACTTTATGAAGTTCAACCAGGGAAAAATTTCAATTGTTTCAGATATGGTAAAAAAAAAAGGAAAATTTTAAATCTTTTCAGAGTACAAAACAAATTCTGGCCCCCAAAATAGAGCGAAAAACCAGGTAAAAGACCTGGGAGTGATCATGTCGGAGGTCTCACCTTAAAGGGGAAAAAATAAACCGGTTTTTTCAATCGCATCTGCTAAAAAATGGCAGGATGGATAATGAGAACCTTCAAAAATGGGGGTCCCCAAACCCCATGAGGGACACTCTTCAGGGGAAATTATTCTATTTTGGCCCGGGGAAAATTTTTTTTCACACTAACAGCCCTTTTTAAGGCAGGTGAATTGCTGACCCAGAAAATGTAAGGGAACCTTCACGGCGCGGGATAACGGAGATAAAAAACCTCAAATTTTTGGGGGGCGCTTGAGGTTCCTGAACCGGGATTCCCCGGAATGCAGGCGGGGGGGAGATAAATGATTATATAAACCTGGAAAATTCCCGAGGGACTAGTACCGAATTGCCAACGAAAATCACTCGTACGAAAGCAAAAAAATTGGAAAACGATGCAAAATCCCCCCCCTGAAAAGCCAAAGGGGGGGTTTACTAGACGTTAAGAGAAACCCTACAATAAGTAAAAGGGGCCCCCAAATGTTCTCTGCCTCCCAGCAAAAAATAAAAGGGGGATTACCAAAAAAGGGCCCCCGGCAAATTTCAAGCTGGCACTGGGCCCAAACACCTAAAGTCGGTTCCCGGGCCCGCGGGGGTGTGGCTCGTACGTTGGTTTGTGTTC